TGACCCCATTGACTGTAACCTGCCAGGCTCCTCTGTCCATGGAATTTGCCAAGAAAGAATACTGGAATGGCTTGCCATTTCCTACTCCAGGGGATCTTCCCAACCCAGGGATCGAACCCACATCTCCTGCAGCTCCTGCGTTGTTGGCAGGTTCTTTACCCACTGAGCCATCAGGAAAGCCCAAAAGGAAAGGCCGTCAGATGCCTTAGGTTCCAGCCCTGTTATAACATTAGCTATATGACCATCTTTAGACCACCTTGAGTCAGAGGACTAGGAAGTATTATACTCCAAAGTAAACTTCAAGTTGCTATGGTAAAGCAAGAACATTCTTTGTATTCACTGGCAATCCATGAACTGAATACGCAGAATCTTGTGAGACAACAAATAAAATAAGCTGTGGAAATAAAATAAATATGTGGAATATATTTATTCCACATATTTGTACAAATAAAATAAAATGTGGAAATGAAATATACTTGGAAATATTTAAAGAATGAAATGCAGTAGCAAATTTAACACAAATGGATTTATTTTTTGTTGTGAGAATGGAAAGGAGAAGCTTCAGGGGTCTTTTACGGGAGTGAAGTTCTTAGGTGAGTACTTAAGTGCCCTGCGATGTAACTCTGCAGTCCTGAAGAGTGCTGACCTCTCTACCTGAGCGTCCTTCCTGCATACATTTCTTTTTGCCCTGAGTTTTCTCTTTATTCATCTAGATATGTTAGCCATCATGCTTTGTAGATATGCATGCAGTTTATAAGTTGCCAATTCTACTTTCTTAAAGTCAAATACAGAAAGTGTAAATGTTTACTATCTTTGTCATCATAGTAAGTGACGCTGAAGGAAGGAGCATTTGCAAGTAGCATCTGGAACCTGCTATTATCTATGTGGACTCATCTCCCTTTGATGTAAAGTCAGGGTTTCTACATAAACTGAATCAGTCACTACCATTACAATTTAAAATGAGAAGAGGTGTTACACAAATTCAAGTTCAAATAAGCGACAGACTCAAGCCCAGGGTCAAGTGAGACAGATTGACTTATACTCTAATGTAGATGCTCCACCTTTCCAGGAGGATGGGTGCTCCCAAGCTGGCTTAAATTGATGATGGCTGAAACTAGATGATGGACATTTGGGAATCATGACACTATCCTCTCTTCTTTGTATACGTTTGAAACTTCCTATAATAAAAAAGATAAATGTATACCTTATGGCCCTGTTGCATGCTTTCTGTAGGTGCTCACAGGAAGCCGGCAGCTCAGGCAGGCTCCGTGGTATGACTGAGAATTCCAGCTCCACCGTGGAAGGCTGTGTGGCCTTGAGAGTGTTGAGTGACACCTGTGCCTCTGTGTCCTTGTCGGTAACAGTGGGAATAACAGCAGCACCCAAGCCGTGGGTTGTCTGAGCAAATAAGGTGCTGTATGTTCAGTCCTGCCTGACACCCAGCAAGTGCTCCATGAAATTAGCTGTTGCTTCAGAAGTTAGATTACACTAAAGGCTTTCCATCTTAGGTTTCTGATTCACTATTTGTTATTCAGCTCTCTGACCCGTTACATGCAGGCACAAAAGTATTCTGAAAGTCAGTTAAATGGAATTACTGGGAAAGATTTTAAGACATTGCCTAAAAGTGTTGATACTAGTGGTCACAGATTCTGAGTTTCAAATCCTGACTTTGTCACTTACTAAGTGATCGTGGATGAATTAATTATCATTGCTTGATTTGTGTTTTTGTATATAAAAAGGATGTTTGCAAAGATTAGCACTCAACACAGTGCCCTTAATAAACAGTTGCTATTTTAGAAATATATTATTATCACTAATACTAATAAATGATAATATAATTATATTCATTCATTTATTCATCAACTTATTGTTGAGTGTCTACTCTGCTATGCATGAGTCTAGAATACAGCAGTGAGCAATACACCCAAAGTACCCAAAGTACCTCCAATCTTAGATAACAAAGTAGTAGATATGTAATAGCTATCAAGTGATAATAAATCCTATAAAGATAAAATAAAGCAAGATAAGTGGGCTGGAGAGTGCCTTATGTGTTGAGGAACAGGGTAGTGATCTATTTTAATTGGGCTCTGGGAAGCCTCTAGATAGGGTAATGTTTGAAGCAGAATTACCAAAGAAGCCATGTGGCTCTTAGAGACGGAAGAACTCTCCAGGCCGGTCACGCAGAGAACATACATTGTTTAATCATAGGGAGTGGGGAGGGGAGGCTAGTGGTTGGAACAGAGTGAATGAGGGGCCATGCTGATGATCAAGGGTGAGGGAAGCCAGATCCTAAGGGTCTGAATGGTCATGGGAAGTTTTGGGTTGTGTTATCAATGAGTTTTCATCGAGGAGTGCTATGTCCAACTTGAGTTTTCAAAGATTTCATCTTGTGGCTGTTCAGTAATAGTTTGCTGGTGGCTGAGATGATAAGAATCTGCCTGCAGTGTAGGAGACCTGGGTTCGATCCCTGGGTTGGGAAGATCACTGAAGGAGGGCATGGCAATCCACTCCAGTATTCTTGCCTGGAGAATCCCCATGGACAGAGGGGCCTGGCAGGCTGCCGTCCATGGAGTTGCTGAGTCGGATACGACTGAGATGCAGCACGGCGCATAGCGAGGATGGGAAGGAAAGCTTTTGCCACTGAAGCAGCAGAGGATGCGGTATGTGAAGAACTGGATCGATTCTGGATATATTTTAAAGAAGCAGAGATGATCATGGCTTGAAAGTAGAGATGATCATGTCCTTGAGGGCTACTAGTTACCCAACACCTGTGTGCGAATTATTACAGAGATATGGATAGCTATTTCCTGCCGGGTGCCTGACAACCTGATGACACCTCTGTTGGTGAGCAAGAAAATGTCCCATTCTTTCAGCAGACACACCCCTGTACCAGGGCACAGCAGGGCAGTGGGGTGAGGCGGGGAGGCTATTTTTAGCACTCACTTGCCCCAGTGTTTCAAAGCTCTTGTGCAGGGCCACAACCCTGGGCTTAAGAGAGAAGACAAAGATGACTCCAAAATTTGGGGCCTGAGCAACTAGGAGAGTAAAGTCGCCATTTACAGAGATGGAGCAAATTTTAGGAGGAAAATTAAGAACTCATTTTGGGGCACATTAAGCTTGAGATGTATATTAGATATTCAAGTGGAAATTTCAATAGGCAATTGAATATACAAGTCTTATAAAGTAACTGGGATATAAATTTGGGATTCATCACCATATGAGTTATTATACTACACATATAATGTATATGTTTAGTATGTCACATAATAACCATAATCATTCATAAAAATAATATAATGAGAAAGTTTTATAAACGATTCCTTTTAGTACTCTTAAATCTTGTGGGTCCTTTTAATCTAGTTTTTGTTATTGTTGTGGTTGATATATAGAGAGAAAAACATTCAAGTAGTTTTTTTTTTTTTTAATTTCAAGTAGTTTTTAAAAAGATAAGTTAAAATAAGTCCATTTGTTCGTTACTTTACCTCTCAGTTCTAGAGTAACCACTGTTAGTTTCCTTTGTATCTTCTGAAATTTTCTATGAATTCCAAAATATACATAGATACAGGTATGTGTCTCAGTATATTTGCTTTTCATACAGCAAAACCATTATATTTATTATTTGCAATTTAGTTTTTTAAAAAAAATTTTGGATAGAGTTTGTCAAATCACCCTTCACAAATGTCACACCAATCTATCCTGCCACCAACAGAGTGTAGATTGACTTTTTCCACCATGTCTTAACTAATCCTGAACATGTCCAAACTTAATCACTGCCATTGGTAGTTAAAGAATAGTACCCTAAGAATTGACATGCTTTTCTCATATGTTTATTGACCTTTTATTTTTCTTTTTCTGTCTGCTGCCTTTTCATACCCTTTGCACATTTTCCTAATTTTTAAAATGGCTTTTGGAAGCTCTTTGGGTATTGAAGAAATTAGTCCTTAGCCTGCGCTAAGCCTTTTTTCAAATAAATTGTGCCTGGGTGATGGCTGCAGTAGAAAAATAGAATAGGAGACATGAGAGGCGACTTTGGCTGCTGAAGACACGGGACAGACTTTTCCTGTCTCCTCCTTTCCTTCCCTCCACCAGCCATCCCCCACCCCCACTGTATTCTTTTTTTTTTTTTCCTTTTATTTCAATGTCCTTGACCTTGTATGTGCATATACAGTTTTTTAACCTTATAGACTTAGTAAAAATGACCTTTCAGACTTTTAGTTTTGTGTTTTAGTAGTATGAAGCCTCCTAACTTTAGCACAGCGTAGGAGCTCACAATAGGACTGAACTTGTCCTTAATATATGGAATATACTTCCATAATTGTGTTTATGTTTTGTTTATAATCGATGGAGGAAACAAGAGAAAAGGAAGCATCAGCTATGTATTGTGAACTATGCAAAGGCTGTGAAATTTTATCACTTCTCATCCTCTCTGGAACGCAACTTTTATTGCTCTTACTTTATAGATGAGGAAACAAACTCTCAGTGAAATTAAGAAACTCAGCCAGAATCACATGGCTGAAATTAAAATGTTGAACTACAACAGAAGATCAGCATGCTTCTGCTGAATTACCAAGTCTGCAATGTTTTTAGTGATTTTTTTTTCCTCTAGGTTCAACAGAAAAGCCTCCTGAAAAAATATTTAGATCTTACCAATGTGTTTAGGACTGAGCTGACGGATAAAAGAATATATTAATTCATTTAGCTATTAGCCTGTGTTAGATTATTAGATTAATAGATACACATATAAGAATACATTGATATATTTAGAACCTTTGGAGTAAGTTAGACAAAAGAGAAGGAGCGTTAAAAAATTCATACGTAACCGTGAGGTCTGTGCACTGTGATTTTTCCACCTAGTTCTGGTTTCACCCGTGTTTCAGTAACTATGCCGTGTGCTCTTTGAAGTAGTCTCCCTCTGTGACCTGGGAGGCTCAGCCCTTCAGATGGACTGCTGTGGGGTTTAAGCTGAGCGAGCACCTGAGTTGTTGGTTTCTCCTTTGCAGGCCTACAACGGCCACCACCAGGCCTTGGAAGTCCTTCTGCAGTCGCTGGTAGACCTGGACATCAGGGATGAGAAAGGCCGCACCGCGCTGGATCTGGCTGCCTTTAAGGGACATACGGAGTGTGTGGAAGCGCTTATCAATCAGGGTGCATCCATCTTTGTGAAAGACAATGTAACCAAAAGAACCCCGCTTCATGCCTCAGGTAGGTCTTGTCAGGAGTCTGGGTACCTTAGTTTTGTGGCCCACTTGAGTAAATGGATGGCGCATCTTCCTTCATCCCAATTTTGAAAATTTTCTACAAAATTTTCTCTTTCTACATCACATATACCTATGCTCTTCCAAAGTGCTTTTAGAGCAGCTTTAGATTCATAGCAACATCGAAAAGGAAGGTGTAGAGGTTTTCCACATACCCCTCGTCCATCACGCATGCATAGCCTCTCCCATTATCAACATCCCTCCCCAGACTGGCATATTCATTACAGTGGATGAACCTACACTGACACAACATGGTCATCCAAAGTCCACACCTTACATTAGGGCCCACTACTGGTGTTGTTCACTCTGTGAATTTGAGCCGATGTCTGATGACATGTATCTACCATTCTGGGCTTCCACAGGTTGCTCAGGGGTAAAGAATCCGCCCGCCAATGCAGGAGATACAGGTTCGATCCCTGGGTCGGGGAGATCCCCTGGAAAAGGAAATGGCCACCCACTCCAGTATTCTTGCCTGGAAAATCCCATGGACAGAGGAGCCTGGCGGGCTACAGTCCGTGGGATTGTAGAGTCGGGTATGACTGAGTACACACACACACACGCATATCTATCATTCTGCCCTAAAAACCCTCTATGCTGCATCTGACCTTCTTAACCCAAAAGAGTCTTAAGAACCTTTGGCCAATGGCAGTCACAAAAATTTCTGGGAAAAAAGGGCACGGTGTATTGTTATTGTCAGATAAATCACATAGACTAAAATCTCATAGCATTTTGAAGCATAAAATTAATATTTCACAACTACTTCATGAAAGGAATTGTCAGACAGCAGTCTGCTGAGTATGTTATTCTACAGTCTAAATGTTACTTCTTCACTTTTGCTCTGATTCTTTTCTTAATGATTTTTTTTAATTAAAGTTTTTTTTTTAATTTTTAAATCAGAGTGCAGTGCTCTGTTAGTTTTGCTGTGCTGCAGCCCAGCTGAGCGGTGCGTGTACATGTGCGCCCTCCCCCGGGGGCCACCCTCCCACCCACATCCCACCAGCATCCCACCCACATCCCACCAGCATCCCACCGTCCGGGTCCGCACACAGCGCCGCGCTCGGCCCCCGTGATGTGCCGCAGCTTCCCGCTCGCCGTCTGACACACGTGGCTGTGTGTACGTCCGTGCTGTTCTCGCAGCTGGCCCCACGCTCTCCTTCCCCCTCTGTGTCCACAAGTCCGTTCTTCACGTCTGCATCTCTACTCCTGCCTTACACACAGGCTCATCAGCACCATTTTTCTCGATTCCATATGTATGTGTTAATATGATATTTGTTTTACTCCTTATTTTTTCTCCTTTTTTAGTGTTTTTATTTTTAATTGAAACGTAATTGCTTTACCAACACAATTTTTGTTCTGACTCTTGATGCATCAGGTGTAAAAACAGGCTCTTAAAAAGCTACATGTATTTTTCAAAAAGTAATTTGCCTCTTCTGTGACTTTTCTTTAATGCACATTAAATAAAACTGTGTCCAGATGCTTCTAGACATATATACAGATGACAAGGTAATGTGGAAGAGTTTCTAGCTCAGCTAAGGCACAGTTTTCTTTGGGTTCAGGAGTTCAGTGATAATAGCCTTTGATCAGGATAGCAGATATTATAAAGAGACGTAAGTATCTTTCACTGTGAAATAATGGATGTATTAGGAAGCGAAGGAATGAAAACAGTTTTCAGATGACTTTGTGATTCTTGTACTTGGGAAAATTTTCTCAGAATGTTTGGCTTCGTGGAAGCATTGCCATCCGCATCTCTGAATGTCAAACCACTGAGGAAAAATAATACAAAGATTGAAAAAGCATGGTGTTGCTTAATTATCTGGAAGCAGTTGTTCCTGGCAAAAACTTGAGCCATGAGGTTAGCAGTGATTGGCATGGTTAAATTATAAATTCTTATTTCCCATCACATCTAGTCTTTTTGGTATTTGCTAAGTATTATTACGAAATTTGGCATTCTAGGCATTCTTGATGTTACCATAGAGTTTACGTTTAGTTCTCCTTTTAAAGTTGCCTATTATTAATGTCAGCATCCTGCTCTAGTTGCCGAGTACTTCCTGACACTTACAAAGGGCCCATTTTGGTTGTGGAAAATCGCCCTTGCGAACAGGTAAACAATGAGCGGTCATCATCGTCCTCTATTTGCCGCCGTGATAAAGGCCGTGGTCCAATGGCGCCCCCCAGTGGTCCACAGGACTGGCGCCTGTGGGTGTCCCCCATGAGATCCGTTGAGAAGGTGCGGGCTGTCGTTTCGTTCTATTCGCCACAAAATGTCTGCTGCGCAGAAGCTCTAGCCTGCACTCTGAGAATCTGCTTTTCCAGAATCTTTTCCAGCTCATTTGAGAGGCCAGTTTTTTGTTCCAAGTCTTGAGAGGAACAGGAGCCAGGGTGGATTTTATCGGGTTTGGCGTAGATAGTTGTAATGACAGTGGTGGTCTTTGAGCAGCGTTGAGAAATGGCTGTCACTCATAGTCAGAGGCTGAGCTAGTCAGACAAAGCCGGATTTGACAGGGCGCAGCAAAAGGAAATGGTGGCATCTTTTTGCTAGAAGGCAGTTGGGGGAAAATGTGTGTAGGAAGCCGAGAATTCTAGTGTAGCCACTCTTTTAAAATAAGGGGGAATTATATTCACTGAGGGCTATTAGCTAAGTTCAGGAAAGCTACAGGCGCCCACCTCCCACCATCTCAACCTCACTCGCCCAAGAAAAACACAGTTCTGTAGGAATTCGTTTGTTCTCCAGCATACCGGATGTGCTCATCACTTTAGTCACGTCCGACTCTCTCCGACCCCACGGACCATGGCCTGCCAGTCTCCTCTGTCCGTGGATTCTCCAGGCAAGAATACTGGAGTGGGTTGCCATTTCCTTCATAATGGATGAGTGATATGAATTAGATGAGTTTTCCCCTTTTTCAGTTTAGGCAAAAATAAAAATCCTTGAAACTATTATGATTATAACTATGCATTTGAGCACACGGCAGGAGAGCGTGGAGGACAGAGGAAACTAGTGTGCTACAGTCCAAGGGATGGCAAAGAGTCAGACACGATTTAATGACTAAATAACAACAACAACAATTTAAAGAATATCAAACTGATATAGAAAAAGGAATCCATCAAAATATGCTGTATTTCATGAGTATTATAATACCACCTGTAGTACTTAGCTATCAGTCCTCTGCTAATTATTTTCTTTTAAGCATACATTAAAACTCTTGCATATTTCACTAGTGCTAACAGACTTAATGTAATTTTTAAAACGGAAAGCAAAAGAGCAACAACATTTCTATAAGATTTCCTCCTGAGGTACATAAATGGGATGTTGCTGAGAATTAGCTGAATGCAGTGGTCTACAAAATGTGGGTATTATCCCTGTAGTTAATATGAGTGGTGTTGATGAATGCGAGCTAATTCTAATATGTATTGTCCCTGAAAACTGTGTCGTAGTTAAATTAGCCTTCTCTCATGACTGGCATGCAATAAAAAGGGCTGTAAAACCCAGCTCTAAGAAGAACCTTTATCAACATAACATAGCTGCATCTATTCCCTTCTCTCTCTACAACCATAACAAGGTTAATGCAATGTATTTTATGGTGTTCTTATTGTTCAGAGAGGAGAGAAGGTCACATTTAGAATTTTCAAATGTATTTGTTCTCATCCTACTCCCTGAGTAGAAAATCATGTCTTTTGCAAGGCTGTGGGTTCCATTCAACGAGCTGAAGGAAAGTACCCTACCCCGTGGATTGTCAGCCTGGGAGGTGCTTCCTGACGCTGGGGCACCAGGGCCTTCTTCCTAAAGGACGCCTTTCCTGGTACACAGGGCAGGGCGAGTCCATGGGTCCCACCCCAGGCAGTCAAGGCCAACACAAGACTGGGGCCACGCTTCCTGCCCGTTGCAAGTCCCCTCCTGGGCAGCTGAGCGAGGAGGGGCCGGGTGAGGGCCTGCTGCCCCAGTCCCAGCTCAGCAGGGACGAGAGGGGGGCAGACGTGAGAGAGGGCGGGAGGCTGCTGGGAGAAGGCAGAGAAACAAGGGCTTTGACATGAGGAGCTCAGACGGAGCAGTCCTCCAGCCCCTGGGGCGGGGGGCCATCTGTGAATCCTCTGGGAGTGCCAGTCAATCAGTGAGCAGCGAGCCAATGGCTAGCATTGCCAGCTTGAGGTTTGACTTTAGGTCGCCAGTCATTAGTCAGAACGCCCACCTCAGAATGCAAAATGATGGGGAAGAGAAGCAGATTCTGTTCCCATCTCCCTCCCTCCCCTCTTCCCTCCTCCTCTCTTCCGCTCACCCCCTTCCTCACCTGCTCTCCTCTCCTTCCTCCTCTGCCTTCTCCTCCGCCTTCAGCCTTCTTTAAAAAGGACTTGAGACAGGCTGGACACAGGAAGTTTGTACAGAGTTGGGAGGCTCCCTTAGAGGAACAGAAAGGTTACCCAGAAAGTGGGGTGAGATGATCGGTTCTATAGGAGTAGATAAGAAAAGATGTCCTCTTTAAGGAAAAAAGCCTCTATACAGCATCCAGGAAAGAAAGTTAGGTGAGCACCACAGTGCCCTGATAGGAAGAAAGTGGAGATGGGTTGGTAACATACGCATTGCCTGCTGTGCCCAGCAGCTGGCATTAGCTGGACACCTGGGGATGTCCATCAGCACCAGTTCAGTTCAGTCACTCAGTCATGTCCGATTCTCTGCAACCCCATGGACTGCAGCACGCCAGGCCTCCCTGTCCATCACAACTCCTGGAGTTTACTCAAATGTCCATTGAGTCAGTGATGCCATGCAACCATCTCATCCTCTGTTGTCCCCTTCTCCTCCCGCCAAGCAACAATTGGAAACCACCAATTTGAAGTCCAGATAAATTTTATTTCAGAGGGATCTATGTGGTCTGTTAAAAGAATGTCCATTATTTTCTTTTTCAGTAATTAATGGTCACACTCTGTGTATGCGGCTATTACTAGAAATTGCAGACAACCCAGAAGTGGTTGACGTGAAAGATGCCAAAGGACAGTAAGTGTTCTCACACCTGGAGTTGACATTTCAAATCACAACTGATCAGTTAATTTGTCAAACAGCTAGGAGGGCTGAATGCTGAATTCCAGATTTGGTGTTTATACTGGGGTGAAACTGATGGATGAGGGTCCTAGAAGAATGAAGTAGCTTTGCGCTGGAGTATATATCCAAGAAAAGTGTGTGTGTGTGTGTGTGTGTGTGTGTATCTTGATGAGAAAGAGCTAACTTTTTATATATGTAGCCTTGTACTCTGGCTTTTTAAAAATATTTCCTCATTTGTTCCTTCTTCCTGTTCATTTTTACCCTCTTCTGAAGCTGCTGCCATCTCATTTTTTAAATTAATAATGGAATAGGACCTCAAGAAGTTATCGCCTCCATAAAAATCCTTCATATTTTTATCCTTCCTGAGTTTTTTTCTCCCCAAGTATTTTCCATCTGTTAGCCTGTTCTCCCACCCAGTCTTGTCTTACAAATAGGAAACGCAGAGCAATAAAGCACTGGTGACTCACCCCAGATGTATGAGTTCATGTTGAAGACAGAACTAGACCTCACCTCCTGGAGCCCAGCACTTGGGTCCTTCCTCTGAACTTGTCCTACTTTTCTTTAAGTCAATGGAGCTTTGTTCAAATGAAATACTGAACCGAAATCCAACATAAAAAACTGTAGAAGTAGTTCCAGTTGCTCTGATAGAAACAAGAGCATTTCTTACATACCCACACACTCCCTGCTCAATTGATATTTGTCCAATGCTGCATAGTTCTGAAAATGATGGGATTCAAATGAACATTTTGAGGTGGAACTTTCCTCTGCTCTACTCGTATTGATCATTCCACTGCCACCATTTCATGTGATCATTAGAGACTAGAGGCAGATAGCTTGTTCCAGGTAGTAGACAGCAAATCAGGGACACTCAGAAAATACTAAGCGATTGTCAGAAAGGGAGAGAGACTGAGAAAGAGAGAGACAGAAAGACAAAGGAAGAGAGGAAGATGCTCCCACTGGAAATGATGAGTATTTTTTAATTTTCTTTTTAAAAGCCCATTCAAATCAAAACCCACAATGAGGTATCATCTCATGCTGATCAGAAGGGCCATAATCAGAAAGTCTACAAATAATAAATGCTGGAGAGGGTGTGGAGGAAAGGGAACCCTATTACCCTGTTGGTGGGAATGCAAACTGGTACAGCCATTATGGAGAACAGTGTGGAGATTCTTTAAAAAACTGGGACTAGAACTGCCATACAACCCAGAAATCCCATTGCTGGGCATACACACCGAGGAGACCAGAACTGAAAGAGACACGTGTACCCCAGTGTTCATCGCAGCACTGTTTACAATAGCCAGGACATGGAAGCAACCTAGACGACCATCAGCAGACGAATGGATAAGGAAGTTGTGGTACATACACACAATGGAGTATTACTCAGCTATGAAAAGGACTGCGTTTGAGACAGTTCTAATGAGGTGGATGAAATTGGAACCTATTATACAGAGTGAAGTAAGTCAGAAAGAGAAACACAAATACTGTATATTAACACATATGGAATTTACAAAGGTGGTAACGACGATCCTATATGCAGTACAGCAAAGGAGACACAGATGTGAAGAACAGACTTTTGGACTCTGGGAGAAGGCGAGGGTGGGATGATTTGAGAGACTGGCATTGAAGCATGTAGATTACTGTGTGTAAAACAGATGGCCAGTGCAAGTTCAATGCAGGAGGCAGGGCACTCATAGCTGGTACTCTGGGTCAACCCAGAGGGGTGGGGTGGGGAGGGAGGTGGGAGGGGGGCTCAGGATGGGTGGGACGCGTGCACCATGGCTGATTCATGTCAATGTATGGCAAAAGCCATCACAATATTGTGAAGTAATTATCCTCTGGTTAAATTAATTAAAAAATAAAAGCCCACTTTCTCTCTTTTCCTAGAACCCCACTAATGCTTGCAGTAGCATATGGACACAGTGATGCTGTCTCATTGTTACTTGAAAAGGAAGCAAATGTAGACGCTGTGGACATCATGGGCTGCACAGCTTTACACAGAGGGGTATGTCATCTTCCTTAGCTTTAGTCAAGCAGTTCTGCAGTGAACTTGTTTCTTCTTCTTTTTTTTACCTTCTTATGAATTTTTAGTATCAAGATTGTTCCCTGAGATAGCCAATTAACCTCAGTCAGTCAAAAAGAAATTACAAAATCTTTTGCAAAGATAAAATAATGGCAGGTACTCTTAGGTTCTGCTCTTGAGTTGTCATGTTTGACTGTGATAATAGATACATGAACACCTTTTGTTGCAAGACTTGGTTCTGCCTTCTGATTGCATGCACATCATAGGAAATTTGCAAAAAAATTTTTTTTTTTTTTTTTTTACCAGAAGCAAAAAAATTTTAAAGCGCAAATGACAAAATCATAATCTCTAGTAATCTTACCTCCCGAAGATAACTATATCACCAGTCTTTTTTCTAAATATAGATTTGTTTTAAATCTTAAAAAGAATACAGAAGATGCTATTTGGAACCTTTTTTTTTTCTTATAGTATATCAAATATCTTAGTCCATATCACTAAATATTTTTCTGCCCTTTTTTAATCCTCCATTGTGTGCAGGTGTTGTAATTTATTCTGATGATTACCTAGTTTTGAGTAAATTAGAAGTATTTTTAATTGTTCTTTATTACAATGTGGGCCCATTTATCACCTGATGTATGTACTCTGCTGAAATAAGTACACTCTGTATAATTCTTCATATACACCTGCTGAACTGTTTTTTCTTTTTTAAGTATATCAAGTAATCTAAATGAAACAAAAGCAGAAATCAGGAAATTGTTATTTAAAGATGGTGCTGACCACCATTGATCAATGAAAAGAAGAGGGTTAGGGTTAGCCCTAACCCTTACTCTAAATGTTTAATGCCATAATTTTAGATCTTATTTCTTGGGTACTTCCTATGGGCCACACAGCAGTCTGGGAGCCTTTACATATCTCATTAGTCCTCACAACAGCCTGTGAGGTCACTATTACTATCCCCATTTACAGGTGGGTAAAGTTAGGCATAGAGAGATAAATTAACCTGTCCAAGTTTTACAAGAGGGAGTTAGAATTTAACTCACATCTTCCTGATTTTAAAGCTGATACTTACCACTGCATCATGATACTTTCCATGGTTATGTTTGGCAAGTCAAGAGATGTTTCTAAAATGCTGGTGTTCACACAGACCTTTCTGTTACGAATTCTTGCTAGGTTGTTCTGCGTTTCTCTGAAGTAGGATAAGAGATTTTCCCCTTAAGACCTCGGCGTTTTGTCCACGTACTCTGAGCCTAACCTCACTTAGTCAACAACTTTGCTTTGCTGAGTCTTCTTAGAGTTGTGTTGTGTTTTTAATCGCGATGCCTCAGATTATGACGGGACATGAGGAGTGTGTGCAAATGCTGCTGGAACAAGAAGTGTCGATTCTGTGTAAAGACTCCAGAGGGAGGACACCCTTGCACTATGCGGCTGCTCGTGGCCATGCCACGTGGCTGAGTGAGCTGCTCCAGATGGCACTTTCCGAGGAGGACTGTTCTTTCAAAGACAACCAGGGCTACACGCCACTGCACTGGGCTTGTTACAATGGTGAGTTAATTGTCGCTTGACTGATTCTGATAGACTTCCTATCCCAACACCACTGTGATCTCAAAGGAAGTGAGAACATAACATGATGCTGTAACCAAGGTATCCAATCTTTCTGCATTCAAATACTGCAGAACAAACAAACAAAAATATCTTTCTTAGAAAATATTTTTCCCTCCATGGCTACCATGGTGCCTTATTGGAATGAAAATTTACTTTACACTTTTTGTTAGCCAATAACATGTAACTTCTCATCAGAACTTCTGATGAACTAACTAGCTTAAATCAGGCTTTCTTTTCTATATGAGATAACCAGGGATCCTACAAGGAATTGAAATAATACAGCTAAAAACAACCAAAACAATATGATGTGATAATGTCACTATTGACAGCTGGTAGGTGCATGATTTATCTTTTAGCATTGCATTTTTATGTCTCATAGTCCCATTTATTTAGTTACTCTTGCTACTGAGGAGATTTAAAATTTTGTGTTCCACTTATTTGAGTAGAAAAAGTACAATGCAAGATAATTGTTACATTTCAAAAATACTGAAGCCTCTAAAGTAAAATTAAGTCTTCATTTCCAAACTCACCTTTTGATATAATTTGGTGTTTATTTTTCATAATTCTCCCTTGAGAATATAAATCAATATATATGTATGTACATCTTTTTTAAAACTAGAATCATATAACAAATATTCTATAACTTCTTATTGTGCACTCAACATTCTATTGCAGATAACCTTACAAATCAATGTGTATCTATATACATTGATCTTTTTAATAGTTGTATATTTTATAGCAGATAAATAGGTATAGACATGCATGAGTATGAGTGTGTATATCAGAATTTAATAGTTATTCAACCAGATCCCTGTTGATGAACATTCAAATTGTTTTTAGGTTTTTTCTCATTACAAACAGTACTGCAGTGTGTATGTTCATATCATGATACTTTAATTATTGATGAGGGCTTGTATATTTTTTAACTTTAATAAATTATACCGTACTCCTTTAGTATGGCATAATTTTTACCCCCACCAAATGTAAATAAAAGCTTTTGTTAGCCCAAGGTGGTATCATCTTTTTAATTTTTGTCGATTTGAAGGACAAGAAAAGGGTATCTCATTTTATTTTGTGTTTCCTTGTTTAATTGTGTACTGATTTATGTATTTGCATTTCCTCTTCTGGAAATTACTTTTTCCATCTATTGCTCATTTTTGTCCTATTGAGTTGTTTATCTTTTCTCACACATTTGTAGGAGCACCTTATCTTAGAATATGAATCCTCTCTGTGTTATGTGTGTTGCAAATGTTTTTTTCTCAGTAGGTCTTTGCTCCTTGTTGATGATATCTTTTTCTTTGTAAAGATTTTGAACTTTTATGTAGTTGAATCTGTGAGATTTTTTCTTCTATGGTATGTAGGTGTACAGTCTTGCTTAAAAAGATCTCCTACCCCTAAGCTTACATGAATATTTTCCCATACATTTCTTGCTGTTGTTCAGCTGCTAAGACCTGTCTGACTCTTTGCAACCCTGTGGACTGTAGCACATCAGACTCCTCTGTCTTCCACTATCTCCCAGAGTTTGCTCAAATTCATGTCAATATATTTCTTCAGTTCAGTTCAGTAGCTCAGTCGTGTCCAACTCTTTGCGACCCCATGAATCGCAGCACGCCAGGCCTCCCTGTCCATCACCAACTCCCGGAGTTTACTCAGACTCATGCCCATTGAGTCGGTGATGCCATCCAGCCACCTCATCCTTTGTTGTCCCCTTCTCCTCCTGCCCCCAATCTCTCCCAGCATCAGGGTCTTTTCCAATGAGTCAACTCTTCACATGAGGTGGCCAAAGTATTGGAGTTTCAGCTTTAGCATCAGTCCTTCCAGTGAACACCCAGGACTTATCTCCTTTAGGATGGACTGGTTGGACCTCCTTGCAGTCCAAGGGACTCTCAAGAGTCTTCTCCAACACCACAGTTCAAAAGCATCAATTTTTCAGCGCTCAGCTTTCTTTATGGTTCAACTCTCACGTCCATACATGACCACTGGAAAAACCATAGACTTGAGCAGACGGACCTTTGTTGGCAAAGTAGTCTTTGCTTTTTAATATGCTGTCTAGGTTGGTCATAACTTTCCTTCCAAGGAGTAAGCATCTTTTAATTTCATGGCTGCAGTCACCATCTGCAGTGATTTTGGAGCCCCAAAAAAATAAAGTCTGACACTGTTTCCACTGTCTCCCCATCTATTTCCCATGAGGTGATGGGACCAGATGCCATGATCTTAGTTTTCTGAATGTTAAGCTTTAAGCCAACTTTTTCACTCTCCTGTTTCACTTTCATCAAAAGGCTTTTTTGTTCCTCTTCACTTTCTGCCATAAGGGTGGTGTCATCTGCATATCTGTAGTTATTGATATTTCTTACTCTGCTTCTATTGTTTTATTTATCCATAATCAATTCTTCTATTAAAATTTTCACTCAGAAACTGTGATTATTGGGTCCAGAAAAGTTTTATTGTGCTCTAACTGTATCAATTTAAGATCTTTCATTATGTTTTTATTACAATCCTCTTTTTTTCATTGGTTCTGACCTCAGTAGTAGTCACATTTTCCACTTTTTCAGTTTGGTTTTGCTCCCTCCCTGCCATTGGAGGATTGTGATTTTTTTTTCTTTAATTTACTTGCTAATGGGTAAGGTCTTCCTAACCCCCATGTGAGTTAAGCTGCAAGGTCTATCTGGCCCTGGAAAACCTGCAGGAAGCGGGTGATAGAGTGCCAGTGTTGATTATAACGGCAGGTGGCAAACCTCCCAGAGACCACATTTTCTCCCGTGTGGAGCTGGGTGGGGCGGGGGTGATAGGTCTGTCTGTTCTAAGGCCTCTCCAGGTACAAGCCGGGGAAGGGGAGCAGGCCTCTCCTAAACAATCCACTGGAATCTACACTCCAGGGTAGTCTTCCAGATTGCAGGTTTAAGCTCCCCTCTTCCCGGGATCTCCTTCACTGAGCACTTTGAAACACTGAAAGTCATTCAAGGATCCCCAATCCTACCTACACAGACCGTTAGATTGAGATTTATATAGCCTCCAAGAAATGGTTTGTGTAGATGCTGCCCCAAGCTAGGTCCTTCAGGGAAATTCATAGTAATAGAGAGGTTGAAATGTCTGGGAATATTTGAGTGAGAGTTGGATATAGTTAGAAAGCTAAACAGTATAACTCACATAAAATTAGGGGATTTTTATGTTCATTACTTCATATACTTCTCAGTCCTCCTAAAAGCAAAGTTTCACCTTTTTTCTCTACAGGTACAAAAAAGTTTGACTTATTGTAATACTTAAAATTGTTCATTCAACATCATTCTGGGGTAGATCAGAAGAGAGCTCTAATCTAGCATAGAACGCAGCCAAGAAGAGGTTTCCAGGGCAACAATCCATATTCCAAATCCAAATAGTTTTACCTTCTTGCCCTAATAACTGTATGAGAACATTGCATCACAAACCTCATTTAGGTCTTTTATCAAGTAAATTTCCCATCATCCTGTAACATCAATAGGGCAGGTATTCCTTCTCTGATTTTTTTATATGTAGGAAATAGAGGCTCATAGATCAGATAACAAGAAAGCTCACAGAACTGGGGCCTTACTTAAATTCAGTTGATTTGAAAACTACCTGCCATTTTGTTGAAAGTAATTATTCACATTCATTCATCTACTCACTAAAATTGTTTAGTGGCACATTCATTCATCTACTTACTAAGAAATAATTAGTGGGTTCCTACTATTTGCCAGGAACTATTCTTTGGTACCCTTTTAAATACTATATAGTGTTTTACAGTCAAAGTCCTTTAACCTGCTTTATCATAAGTACTGTTTTTTAATCAATCACCTCTTCCTCCCTTCCCTAGGGTGCATAATTATAAGTGAACCTATTCATGTGGGTAAAAGGGAAATTTTCTGTTGTAAATATGGACAAACTGAGGCATACCTATGTTAGGCACCTACCTACTAAGAGCTGTGAGTATGGTAGAATTGTTCTGCTTGCAGATGAGGTCTCTTTCTCATCACTGCTTAATTTATTCATTGTATCTCAGAATGTCTATGAACATAGTTAAAAACATTTTGGCATTTGGTGAATTTTATTCCATGGAGAATGATCATTCAGTCAATTCAGGAAAATTCATAGGCCAGAATTCAGTACTTAATGAAAAAATAAAAACTTTCATTAAACAAAGTTTCATCTTAGAAGCTCCCTAAATTCTTTTGGTTCCTTGCAGGTAATGAAAACTGTATAGAGGTACTTTTGGAGCAGAAATGTTTTCGAACATTTATCGGTAATCCTTTCACTCCACTGCACTGTGCAATGTAAGTAGAAACACTGGAAGTTAATGGTGTGGCTTGAATTCTTTAAACCACACCTGGAAAAATGGCTTTTGTCAGAAGGAAAACACTTTTAGATTACAGATAAGACCAGTATATTCCATTTTGCAGCTAAAGGCAAATAAGTCTGATATCAAAGTGCAGTATCTAATGGTAATGATTTTTCAGGAGCTTTTTGTGAAGTGGCTCACAAACCACCCAGGGAAACAGTAGGAAGGGGTGGACTGGGAACCACAGCACACACCACGTGAAGAGCTCTTCAGGTGCATCAGTAGTCACCTGTCTGCCAAATTCTAAAAATACGTTGGGGTTGACAGTAGTATCCCTGTGGATAATTAGACATTTTATTCCAGGAAGATTTCATACATGGTAATTTTCCAATCTTCATAATGTTGAAATTCTTCTTCGGTAAATGAAACTTTTGCTCAAAATTTGTATCAAAATATTTAAATACATCAGATTATTAAAGATACAGTGCATAGAAAGATGGAGTAGGAGGGGATATGTAATTTTTTAGAGAGCAAGGTTTTAAAATTTTAAATCTATTTTTATTTTAGAATAAATGATCATGAGAATTGTGCATCACTGTTACTCGGGGCCATAGATTCCAGTATTGTCAATTGTAGAGATGACAAAGGCAGGTAAGTGATCCTAAGAGCATGGCTCTTGTCTGATGAATCTTAGCCTTCTATGTGGCTACAGAGTGGCCAAACATCTGTTTTTGATTGAAAAAGTAATATATAGACATGTTTTTAAATATTAAGTATAATAAATGATATATAAAGAAATTACCCTCCCCACAACTTCTAGTCCTCAACAGCCTGGGGGGCAGGGTTCTGAACAAAGTTTGACCAGTCAGGAACAAGCATTATCTGCTCAACACGCTGCAGTTATTAACCTTGCCGGAGTAGGAAGTTTTATGCATTCATAGGCAGCTGTGTTGTCTCAGCTTGGCTCTGCCGAGAACAGACCTGAGCAAAGCCTTCCTCAGCAGAGACTCCAGCTCTCCTCTGCCTTTCAACAGCAGCAGCAATAGATCCAACAGTTACGATTCTTGCAGCATCAAATGGCTATGGCAGCAGCAGCAGCACAAACAGCTCAGCTACATCGTCATCGGCATACAGGCAGCCAGTCAAAAAGTAAAATGAAGAGAGGCACGCCAACCACTCCAAAATTCTGAGTCTTGAATAGTTTTTCTTTTTAAAAACATAAGAGCATTGAATCAAAAGGATTCGGAGTTTCTACTTCATTTTTGTTTTTTAAAAATGTGTCAGTATTTTACATTGCTAGATATACAAACTTTATACAGAAGTTTGATTTTTAAATAAAAACAAATAATTTTTAAATAAAAACAGGGAAATGGTTTAACAAACCATTAGGGTTGGTTTGCCTAAGTCATTGTTTTTTAAAAATGGTTTCACTGTACATAATACAGAAGTGACCTGAGAAATACTAGAAACATCTTTCAAAAAAATGTAGTTTGGTATTTATTTAGTATAAAAGGTTTGTGCACAGTGTAACAAATACAGTTTTTACAAATCTGACCAAAAAAAAAAAAGAAATTACCCTCTTAGTCCAGAAGCCCCAGCCTCTTCCACTGAGAAAACTACTTTAAACTGTTCTTTCTAAATTTTTATTTCCTTCCAAATATTTTGTATATATAACTATATAAATATATAAAAATATATATGTTTATATTCTTTTTATACAAATGCAAACATTCTATATTAATGTTCTCCTTTTAACATATCTTGGTGATCTTTCCATACCAGAACGTAAATATTTACTATATTCTTTTTAAAGCTTCATATTATTCCATTGACTGGATATGTTATAATTTAATCAGCTTGTCCTCCTTTGAAGAATATTTAGATTATTTCAGAATTTTGGTGTTTTAATGAATGGTGCAGTGAGCAGTCTAGTACATGTATCTGTTTACATGACCAAATGCATCTGGGAGATAAAAGTGCTAGAACTGGAATTTTTTGGTTCAAAGATCATAGTGTTTAATTTTGATAAATCATGCCAAATTGTCCTCCCAAAGAAACCAGCCATTCATATTAAATGATGTAGGCTTTTTTTAAAAAAAAAATAGCCAATTATCTACAAATCTAAGGCCTAATTTTGAAAGTGTGTTTATCAGTGATGCGAGAGGTCATTGGAACTCAAGATTAAAGGGTCAGTAAAGATGATGATTTTATTATCAGGACCACTGCCTACACCCCCCAAGTCTAGGGGTGCCGTTCACATGGGTGACACTTCAGTGTCTACCCTGAATGGCCTCTGGGGGTCCTGGTCACCACCTCTGTAAGCAGTAAGCTTTAAATCCCTAAGATGACACCGTGCACATGTTTCTCAGGCACATATAGAAAGGGAGTGTGTTACGTTTATAGGACGCTAACATCATATTTGTTTTAAATTGTTAGGACACCACTTCATGCAGCAGCATTTGCTGATCACGTGGAGTGCTTGCAGCTTCTTCTGAGACACGGTGCTCAAGTGAACGCGGCAGACAATTCAGGGAAAACACCGCTGATGATGGCTGCTGAGAATGGGCAGGCTGGTGCTGTGGGTACGTGCTTGCCTTGTGGACTTGGCGTGAGGCCTGTCTAAAACCAAAGGAATGTACAGTTGGGAAAGTGGTCATCCTTTTGGTATATACATGTGAGAGAAGACCAACATTGTATTTAAGCCACCTAATCTACTTGCTGTTCATCTTTAGTCCCCTGTTAACTTGGTCATTGATAGACTTTGTCAAAGTGAGCCCACCTTTCCACAGTGAAATCTGTTAACATTTAGAAACCAAATAGAACAAAAGAATCATTTTACCTGGAAATAACAAAACTGTAAAGACAATTAAAATTAATGCCTATAGGGACTTCCCTCGTGGTCCACTGGTTAAGACTCCATGCTCCCAGTGCAGGGAGCCCGGGTTTGATCCTTGGTCACTAAACTAGATTCTGTGTGCCTCAGCTGAAGATCATGCATACTGCAGCTAAGACCTGGGAGCAGCCAAAGAAATAAAAGTAAATTAATAATTATGGACTTTGGATTTGAATAGAACAACTATGGCAATAAAGTGGCTTCTCTGATAGCTCAGTTGGTAAAGAATCTGCCTGCAGTGCAGGAAACCTTGGTTCGATTCCTGGATTGGGAAGACTGCTGGAGAAGGGATAGGCCACCCACTCCAATATCCTTGGGCTTCCGTTGTGGCTCAGCTGGTAAAGAATCCACCCGCAGTGCGGGAGACCTGGGTTCAATCCCTGGGTTGGGAAGATCCCCTGGAGAAGGGAAAGGCTACCCACTCCAGTATTCTGGCCTGGAGAATTCTATAGACCATATAGTCCATGAGGTTACAAAGAGCCGTACACGACTAAGCGACCTTCACTCTCACTTTCATGTGAAATAAATTGTTCCTTTTTTCGTTAAAAATATTAGTTATGGTAATGTGAGTATACAAATTTAAAAGCATTGTTGTTTTGGTAGTAATTTATTCAAAGTGCATGTAGTTAGCGTGTGGTCTTAGTAACCATCTTTTGGCTTTTTCTGCAGATATTTTGGTGAACAGCGCCCAGGCTGACCTAACTGTAAAGGATAAGGACTTGAACACATCCTTACATTTGGCTAGTAGTAAAGTATGTAAATAGGTTGAAACACTGTTATTTAGTGTAATGATAAAATGATAATAATAATACCTAAATCTGTCCATCAGAAGTGTGTATCATGGCTCTTAATTAAGATGTATGTTTTCCCAGGATGGTGCCATTCTCAGTGGAATCAGAGGGGGAAGCAAAGGGCAGACCCACACAAAGGGGTTGATGGGCTATGTTTCTCAGGGAATTTGCCAGTTGAATTCTTGCCACAATCTGGTTTGATGCTGCCAATGAATCTGTCTTCATGGTTGTGGTATCATATTTTGCTTTTAAACACAGGTTAGGAACTTAGTTAAATGGCTTCTAAAATATAAGCAGTTCCACACGTTTTCATTTATTCTGCTTAAAGACGTTGTAATAACACAGCCAAAAATACTCTTTTATGAGGCAAATAAATGTATTCATTTATGTATGCTTCTCTTGTCTCCCTTTTCTTCTGGTACGTAGTTCAATGCAAAGAATGTGTGTGTGTGTGTTTGTTTTAATAGCATCGTGTTCACATATAGCTCAAGGTTCCTGCTTTTGTAGAAAAATAAATGTATGATTTTATGAGAGTGGGATCATACTGTTGGATAACCTGCTTTCGTTACTGAATCATATATTATGAATATCTTCCTTTCAGACATCATATATTACAGTGTTTTAGAAGATGTATGGAACCCTGCCTTAGGATTGTGCTACCCTTGATTCATCCCATCCCCTATTTTTAAACATTTCCTTGTTTCAAATATATGCTACTACAAATAATACTAGTTGTAGTATAATAATCTGAATAAATCCCTAAATATGAAATTAGTGAGTCTAAGGCTATGAACACTTCTAAGACCAAAATGCCCTGTAATAAGGTTTTAACCATTTACATTCCACCAGCAGTACATGACAATGAAAACTCCATGGGCACTTCTAAAATTATCTTTATGTGTTTCCCTTTTAAGGTATTGTAATATGATGCTAGTTGACACCAATGATGATGGTTTGTTCCAATATAGTTGTATCATTAAAGGTGTTATCTATACCCAGTGGTACCAGAAGTCTCAGCCATTCCTTTCATTGGTTACATTTTTCCCGTTTCATGATCCAAGAAGCCTTTGGAAACCACAAAAAGTGCTCAGGTTCCTGAAGTTCATGTTAAGTTGTCGTGTTTTCATGAATATAAGTACAATGCTCTTCAGACTTATTGTGCAAATGAATCCTCTGATAATCTGGTTCAAATGCAGATTATAATTTAGTAGATCCAGAGTGGGGCTTGAGGGCCAGTGTTTCTAACTCCCAGCTGATGCTGATCCTGCTGTTCCGCTGAGCCATGTTTTGAGTGTCTAGGGTTTAGGAAATGGTCACCCCCTTAACCAGGCACTGGGCCTGAAGTTCCAAAAGGGTCTCTATTTTATTAGTTGGTTTTTTAGATTTTCAGCTATCATAAGTCATAACGTATAGAGGTATCTTTTAAATGAGGAAGAAAAGAATGACCTTTGCTGGAAAAGACTCTTTATAAGGCAGCCAGTGATGAATGATACAGATAACAGGTACAATGGGAATTCCAGTGATAAGTGGATACTGAGGTGGTATTTGAAGGTTTGAGGAAGGAGATGGGACTTGACTTGTGTTTAAAAAGCTTTGTTGAAGAATTTAAAAGACACTCCTAATTCTACTCTCTGTTTATCTGCTGACCTAACTGACATAGCATCAGCTTCAGCTCCTTGGACATTAATTCTAAAAGTTGTCGTAAAAACGGTAATATTTTAGATCAGATTTATATTAATCAAGTCCTAATACACCGTATTTAGAATCTTTGAAAATCTAGGGCTGTTTAACCATTTGCTTTTAGAGGAAAATGAATTATTCAGAAAATAGCCTATTTTGATATTACGCAGGGAATACATGTTAAATTTAAAGCATACTGAAGTGATTTCCCCAGAACATTTCTGTAACTCTGTTCCATTTTCTTATCTTTTTTTCCTTCATTAGGGTCATGAAAAATGTGCCTTGTTAATACTTGACAAGATACAAGATGAGAGCCTTATTAATGCAAAAAACAATGCACTGCAGACGTAAGTGTGACTACTAAAGTTTGACTAAATCCCAGATTCATAGTCGTTTATTTGACCAATAATAAAAATGTGCTATATTCTAGGCTAGAGCTTGGGGATGCAGTGATGAAAGACACAAATCTGGCTTTTCCTTTGTGAAGTTCATGGTCACATATCTACAATTGCTGACCAAGCTAGACATTTTTAGTTAGAAACTTTCTTCTGATATGCCTTCATAGAATTTTGTGAGGTGGCCTGTGTTTTTCCTTGCTGATATTTCTAAGGTAGTACTAAAAATATAGTGGGTTGTTAGAAAATCTTACCAGCCACCATATTTGAGGAGAAACTATTTGTTTAAACGTATTAGTTTTATGTAGTTTTACTGGAAAACAGGTTTTATTTATCAAGTTCCCAGAATATGTTTGAAGCATTTGAGCTATTTGTGTTAATTATGTTTTAATATAATTCAGTGTAATCCTTAGCGTGAAAGACCCAAAAGCTGCTTCATTTTCCATTTTAGGAAATTACCTATGCATTTGTTTTAAGCACAAAGGAATATTAGAATATTTTTTCCATTAAGATGTTTAAGCAGAATAGCAGAATATATTGTTTGACATTATTCTTTCAGTTCAGTCGCTCAGTCGTGTCCGACTCTTTGCAACCCCATGAACCACAGCACGCCAGGCCTCCCTGTCCATCACCAACTCCCGGAGTTTACCCAAACGCATGTCCATTGAGTCGGTGATGCCATTCAACCATCTAATCCTGTGTCATACCCTTCTCCTCCTGCCCTCAATCTTTCCCAGCATCAGGGTCTTTTCAAATGAGTCAGCTCTTTGCGTCAGGTGGCCAAAGTATTGGAGTTTTAGCTTCAACATCAGTCCTTCCAATGAACACCCAGGACTGATCTCCTTTAGGATGGACTGGTTGGATCTCCTTGCAGTCCAAGGGACTCTCAGCTTTCTTTATAGTCCAACTCTCACATCCATACATGACCACTGGAAAAACCATAGCCTTGACTAGACAGACCTTTGTTGGCAAAGTAATGTCTCTGCTTTTTAATATGCTCTCTAGGTTGGTCATGACTTTCCTCCCAAGGAGTAAGCGTCTTTTAATTTCATGGCTGCAGTCACCATCTGCAGTGATTTTGGAGCCCAGAATTCTAAATTCAGTAAAACTTCATTCATGCCTTTAGTAATAACAATGTTTAAGATTATGTATATGGATGATCGTAACACCAGTCATATTGATTTCATATTGGTTAACTGTGTGAGACAGTGATCAAATACTGATACAGAAGGCAAAGGGTAAAGAGCCTTCTGGAAAACACACCAGAACTTGAATTCTTTCTCTGGCTCCCTGTGTCTTGTCACTAAGGTTGTTTGAGGTGTAAAATATTTGTACAATAATATCCACAGAAGAATTTGGGCCAATGTGGAAGAACAGTTGGATCTTTAGCTCTTCAGAAATTCTTTTTGAAAAAGTGAAAATACTCGTGTTATAGATTCTCAAGTCCTTTCTTTCTTTCAACCACGCAGATTACTCAGAATGCCACCTTCTCATACAAACATGCATCACAGTTGACATTCAGTGTTGTCTTTTTTTCAGACCCCTCCATGTGGCCGCACGCAATGGCTTGAAAGTGGTTGTTGAGGAGCTGCTGGCCAAAGGGGCTTGTGTACTTGCTATAGATGAAAATGGTAAGTGGGAAAAGTAAGCCATTACCTCAGGTGCCAATGCACCTGCTATGAAGCAGAGGAAAATGGAAAAGCCAGGAGCTAGTTTAAAAAGGCAGTGAGAACTCTCTTTCCCTTGGAAGTCCCCTGTGTGTGAGCAGTCAAACAAGGATGATTTGTCCTGTCTGTTGTTGTAAAACACATAGTCTCCCTGCAGTCCTCCAGTGCCTTCCATGTGCATGTCATGTTAGCAGCTGGTCTCAAACTCCTCAGCATGGTGGTTGAAATATGTTAGATACACTCAACTTGGTATTCGAATGAAATTTTAACTGCACATGCTGAAGAGTTAGGGATCACATGTGTCATGGGTGCATGCTCAAGGGCTCAGATTAAAACATCTTTGTATTTCAGTTCATTCTGAGATCAAACCTCTAGGTATTATTTTACAGAACAGATCAGAATTCATATTTTCAGTATGGATACTTGGGGAACATGAGTAAAAATTTTAAATTAACATCTAGGCTTGAAAGCTTCTTCTGATCTATACCACATTTCTTTTCTAAATGAACTAACTCTTAACAGAAGCTTTCTACTCTTATTTCCTAAGAAATTTAGAAAGCTCATGAGTATGAGAATTATATTAAACTACCATGCCTTTTAAATTTGGGGAGCAAAAGAGGAACTTCTGGATATTTACCATTTAAGTAATTTTTTGAATGTGGCATTAATTGTGACATTTAATTCAAGTATTATAAAATGTATTAACATAATCCAACTGCTTATTACAGGTATTGGAATTAGCAGCTCATGCCTATTTCTCAGAAGTAAGCAGCCATATGACATCATTAGCTAACTGCTGTTAGTTTCGGTTTTGCTGCCCCATTTATCCTAGCATGTACCCCGCTCTGTCCCCAGCCTGACTCATGTAGGGGATGCGAAAAGTTCTCTATTACCCCAGTCTTCCTGCCCCACCTTCCCTCACCTTCTTATTACTACTATATGCACATGCATTAATACTTTAGGGTTGACGGGCAGAGCCCCACAATTTTTCTCCAAAATGACCCAGGAGTCCAGAATGAATCAGTTTTGCCTTTCTTCAGTGTAAGTCTGCAGTATCTGAGGCTTGTTCAGCCCATAGCAAACTCAACAATAAATGCACCAGGGTTGTAGAACTGCAGCCTGTGTCAGAGCTTAGCTACCCACTGAAGGCCTAGGAACATTTGGGACGATTTTGTACCACACTGCAGTCTTAATTACTTACACAGACCTCTGTGGAATGGAGTGTTAAGGTATCTGTCCATTCTTGTTTGTCTTCATACCAGAGAGAGGATTCATCTGTTAAGCAGGGGAGCAGAAATAAGGTCAAGTGCTAACAAATGATACAGCAAAAAATTAAGATTTTTGAGCCAGTGCCTCTGAATAAAATGAGCCAGTGGTTAGTAGAAAGTTTAGCCAGGAGAGGGGGCAGGTAAACCTTTCCAGCCAACAGAATAAAGGTTGAATAAGGGTAGACTGAATCGAAGACTTCATGTACCTCCCCATGGCTCCTGCTTCATGTGTTGAAATAGTTTTCTCTTCCAGACTTGACCCATCAAGTTCACATAGTAGAGAATGACATGACTCTATGGCACACAGCAGCCTCCCCATATCTGTTACATTTAGGATTTGGGACTTTGGCTGGTGGTGTGGGCATTATTTAAAATTCTGTTTAAGTTTCTTTTAAATGATAGTAAATTTCACCACAAACAACCAGTGCTGTATCTCATCTTCTCAAATGATTCCATTTCTCTAGAACCAGCTTCCTGACACCTTCTTCATTAAAGTATATATAAAGTGACAAAACAGTGTTACTGACTCTCACAGACACCTGTTTCTCAACATCCTCTCTAATCTGACGTGGAAAGTCATTGTTCTCAGAATGAGAGTGCCCTGACCCCAGCCCAAGGCGCATGGTGTGTGTATGCTCTCAAGTGGAAACACTTTTCTGATCGTCCTGTGGCTGTTTTTTTTTTTTTTTTTTAATTTTGTGGAATTGTGTCACACCCTCCCCACCTCATGTTTCTGTTCACTAGATGAAGACTGGAATCCTGCCTAACTCCGGATAATATAGTGCTTGTTGTTGTCATGTAAGCTGGAAAGAAAAAAACAAAAACCCTCCATCAAATGTCCACCCCTTCCCGGTCCCCTCCAGCCTCACCCCAAGCATGACTTGTGGGAAGTAACTCCTTTTGCCTGGCATGATTTCTAACTCAACATACATCTCCACGTGTGAGGTCGTTCGAGATGTACTGTGGGACGCTCACGCCACTTCTGGATTGCCTGGACTAACCACTGCCTTGTCTGCATTTACGCCCAGGTCATACCCCGGCCCTGGCTTGTGCTCCTAACAAAGACGTGGCTGACTGCCTGGCCCTCATTCTGGCTACCATGATGACTTTTTCTCCTTCCAGTACAATGACGGCTGTCAACTTCGTTTGTTTTAAAAAAGACAGTTTGAGCAGGACCACTCTCTCCAACCTGGGTAGCATGGTTAGCCTGTGCAGTAACAATGTAGGCTCTGAGGATGGGTACAATGAAAATGATTCTGATTCGGAAACTTTCTGACTTTGGACTGTAGAAGCTTTTCCTTGGTCCCCCATGTTGGAGGAAGGGAACAAAGCTTGAATTCCAGATTTGTGTTGTGTTCAAGTGTTATTATGGGCCCGCGCTTCCAGAAGCCAGTAAGGATTAATCAAGCCCAGGGAAGGCAGCTAGGCTGTAGGCAAAGCTCTCATATAGTTGGGCCTTGGCTTTACTTTGTTTCATGTTTTCCTTAGAGCTGAGATACTTCTGTGAAAGTCTACCTCTCATTTTAAATATGGAATTTTAAAAAAGCATTTAATTCTTTTTCTTTGGGGATAATGCAACAGAGAGGGAGATTTTTTTTATTTTTCATGTACTCAGCAGTGAGTTCTCAAAAGTGTATCAATGTTACATTCATGTCCCCAAGGAAGGGAGGGAAGGGCTGGATAGGAGATGCCTCAAACCTCTGCTCAATTTGATGTTTACTTCCTTACTAGAAGCCAAAGGTAGAGGTGTTCATCTTCAGAAATAACGCCTGTAATAATCTTTTTTTAAGGGAGTCCAATTATTCATAGGCTTCCCAGGTGGCGCTAGTGGTATCCTCTCTATAGTAAGTACTTAAATATCCAGAACTTCTTTGTGAGGATTTTTGTTTAAGTTGCCAAATGAAGGGGAAAATCCACTGAAAATTGAACTTGCTTTTTTCATTTAACAAAAATATGGCACCCAGTGCTCCCTGTAACAAGCCTGTGACTAATTTTCGACAAAAGATTGAACACGAATCACTTCAGTAACATTTCAGGTGAAAATTATATTGCACCGAAACTTTGAAATATATGCAAATGTGAAATTACCCTTGATTAATTTGTCTGTAAATCAAAATACTAACTTTCTTAAAAACATAAGAGCCACCAGTATTGTTCATCAGTAGTGAAATGTTAAATGAGCTTTTCGGTCAAAGTCATGCTCAGTGAATGGAAGTGTGACTCCAAAAGAGAACAAGGTGAAAGCATGATGTACAAATGGGTGAAATGGAAATTAAAGCCGATTAAAGTTGCTTCATGATGAAATCATCGTAGTGAACACTGTGTCTGCTCCCTCTCCTCTGCCAAAGCTTCTAGGTCAAATGGACCCCGCTCTGCACCTGGAATAGCTGTACAGAAAGAAGAATGAGACTTTAAATTATGCACATACACATGCACATGTATATGTATGTATTTATCTATGTCTGTAGTTCATCAGCCAGCTATACACGAGGACCAAAATGCTTCAGTCTAAAATTGAAGATTTAAATTGTTTTCCTTCAAAGTGGAAGTAAGAACTGAAATAGCTTTTCTATGGAGTTAAAATGTAATCTTTTTGCGTAAGTCTTTATTGTATTTTATATTTCTTAGGACACAAATTTCTAGCTGATGGCTTAACATTTGTAACTAATAATGTGTTTGCCACAGCTTAATTTTTTGCCAAACTAGAGAAAATGTTCATATACTTCGATGTATATGTGTTTGTATTTATTTGAAATGAAACAAATGCCGAGGAAATACCCATTGTTTATTCTCTGTTTTAATTCCTACTTGTCTTACTTGTAATAATGAGGAAGCCGGAAAATATACAGAACTTTCCCTGGGCTGGCCTGCAGTCCTGAGGGTAAGCCCAGAAATTCCACTGCTACGGCTTCCAGTCGACCCTCAGGTTCTTCCACGTCGGTTGAAAAAAGGTACAACATCCATGACTCAGCCTGTGTGTAGCCAGCTCAGAGCTTCGAATACACTGCAGTCCTTATGCTTTTCTTCGAGATGAAAACTGAAGTGTGTAGTGGGTCATGTGCACAAAGAGGGCCCAAAGAAAGATACAGAAATTATCCTGAATATGCTGAAAATCTCATGGTCCCAGCAACCTAATGGGAAACTCTGTCAGTGTGTGGGCACATGTACCAAGAAGAGAAATAAAAATCACCAGCTCCTGCTATTTTCTACTTGAGGAAGAGAAGGGAAAGAAACATATTGCATTAGAGTACTGCTCTCCAATATTTTATAATGGGTTCCATTTTCACTCTGGAAATTTCTATCTTAATGTATGTGAGATATTTTTTAAACAGTGTCCTAACATACCTGGATTAAATACAGATACCATACTATAGTATTTCATTTAACTGTAAAAGTCTTCACTCTGTAATATTCTGGATTTTATTAAAAACTCATGTTGGGTTCTTCACAAATGAGAACTTGTTCAAAGGACTTACAAGAACTGGTATTAATTTCATTGAAACCTTTTGTTTCACCACTGCCATTGTTTCTTTTTTAATTCTTGGTGTTGTGTTCCCCTCCTTTCTCTGTCCTTTTTGTCTGCTTGGAGAGGATGAGTTTTAAAAAAGTGGATAAATTGCTAATGAGCAATAATGACCTTACCTTTACCAAAACCGTGAAAGTAAGGGAGCTCTAACACTGCAGAAACGTGATATATTGTGGAGTCTTTTTCCAGAAGTGAATGGAAATCTTGCTCAGTTGGCCTTGAAAGCAGGAAATGCGATGCCTGCTTTAATGGTGAAGCAGCACTGCCATTTCTCCTGTAGCGTAGCACAGAGAACAAGAAATATTGCGGCAAGGCAGTGACAGCCGGGCGACATCTCTGTGGAGCTGCGTCCTGATTTTCCCTGCTCTCACTGCCAGAAAGGAGGAGGACAAAAGAACAAAATGAAATCATGCCGAGAATTGTTTATTGCATCTCTCTCCCCCACTCTCTCTCTCTTTCTCCCTCTTCCCAAGACCAGAATTTTTCCCTTAAGAAACGACTTTAAAGACTGAGTTCTGTGTTTTTCACTTAACATCTCTTAGAAAACTAGATTTGCCACATTGCTTTCTAAGAAAAACAAAGACAGAAAACATTGTGCTTTTAACTGAGTCTTGGTTGTTTTGTGCTTTTACCTAAATATGTTATTTTTAGACTGTATTTTAACCACAGCCACAGGGATCATGTTTCATTGCACTTACACCTATTTGCCATGCCTGCCTATCCTTGGTAAATACATTACTATCTCCAAATTGCCTAAAATCTGCTATGATTCTACAGTAAATAGCTCAGGGGATTTCTATTTATCACTAATAAAAGGGCACCATAGTATGTTTTGGTACTTTAGGCAGTAAACAGCTGCTTGGTTTATTATTTTATTATTAAATTAGGACAAGAACATCAAATGGATTTGCTGCACTAGTAATTCTTTGTACTGTTGAGCAACTTGGTTTGCTTATCTGTTGTGTTGGTTGAAGAACCCACCCCTTTTTTTTGTCTTGTGATATGAAGTTAGAGTGCCTTTTTATATTTGTATATTCTGAAAATATTCTGTGAAATGTTTTGTATTTTTTTTCATTTGAGTGTTATCAGAGCAATATAATACCAGTGAGTTTTCATTTCAGCCTTTCTTTGAATGTATAAAGTGTCTTTTTTCCTCTTTCCCCTTTTACCTGCTTTGAAATGAAAATGAAGATGCTGAAGTTTTCTATAGGAATTATGTTTGATTTTGCAGTGCTAAAATGCTTTCTTTTTACAAAACCATAAACCATAGGTCAGTGTTATAGGGGAAGAGCGTTTTAAGATAGTGACAATCTGAGTGTGTGTATAAAATGTAATTCTATGCGTTTCTTTATGCAGTGACCTAAAAATTCAATGCAAAAATATCTTTTGTTTGGTAGTTTTGTCTATATATTTTATGCTTTAGCATGTGCAATATATCTTTGCAAAGCGTGATGATACAAATCTGGTGCCAGTGTTATATTTTGCATAACATATTTCTAACAGCATAAAATATTGTTTCATGATTTCAGTGGGATTTTGTCTGTAATGTTTTCTTATGAAAATTGGAGTTGAATGACTCTGGTAAATGCCATGACTATAAAAATGAGGAAATGACTTTTAGTTCAGTGAATGACTTTGAACCAATTGGAATCTTCTCAAGCACAGTTTAATACTTTTTCAACTACTGAATGCTAATCATGTCATGAAGTACTTAACTGTAATATACTATGGAAATGCATTCAGATGGTTATTTTTCCAAATAAAAGCGGTACAAATATTGTTGCAATTTGTGTTGTCTTTAAATTTTCCAGTTATGCTAATTTTGCCAATTGTTATGCTAAGTTAAACTTTTGTCCCGTACTAAAGCCAAATTAACCTTAAATTTTTAAAATAATCGAAATAGAGGTATACTTTCTGTTTTTGTTTATATAATCACAATTAAAGCAAAATATTTCAGACAGATATTTTACACTTATTTTACCTATTTATACTTCCAACATTTTTTATAAAGAAGTTAAGCTGGCTTGCAACTAAAGACATGTGATAAACTGGAAACAGAAAAATTAGGACAATGAAAAAGAACTCAAACTGTAGGAATTCTCAATTTAATGCAGTGGTTATAACTGAATTTGAGTTTGGTCTAAAGTTCCTTACAGCCAAAGTAAGAGGGAGAAATGTGATTAATAATAATATATAATTATTTATAGAATAATGTAGTCTATATAATATATGGAGATGATATTACCTATATAATTAAGTCTATAGATCACATATCTCAGAAAAAGAGAAACCTGTTAGGTCCACAAAATTGTGAACTAAACCACGTTTATCTTTGTTGCTGCCACCACTACTAGGCTCTGAAGTCACTGCTCTTCAATTGCTTGTAGTAACACAAGACCCAACTTTTCAGCACTGTCCTTAAAGACACACACAGAAGTACCTCTCCATCTGTCTCACCATTCAAATAGTCTCTTCTTGGGTAATAACTCAGGAACAGCCCCTAGAAGCGCTGAGAAACAGATTCCTAATTACGGAGTGTTCGGCTGATGAGAAAGAGATTGCATCGGCACATCAGGAGGGGGGCGCAGGGGAGAGCTTCCCGGGTCCTCAGATCCGTGTCCTAGGATGTTAACAGTGCCACAGTCTCGCCGAATCCCATTACCACCTGTTTCATGAAGACAGCGGATCCCAGAGAAGTTATTGATTGCTCAGGTTTGTGTGTATTAGTGATCTGAGTACACACTTCTTTC